TTCATGGTATTCACTCCTAACACTAACCTAAAACTCGTTCAGAGACACAGACTGAGATATGCGTTTCAATGTAGAAGAACTCTGAAGATCTATGAATGTTTTTTAAATGGTTCTTGTACCCAATCGATATCACTACAACTATCCGAAAAATAATCGAACAAAGACTTCAGGAGATTTACCAGTGAAGGGACCACAGACTTAATCCCTGGGTCGAACGCTGTATATATTGTGATGTTCCGATACCAGTACTTAGAAGTATATGCTCAAGTACCGAGTATTTTTTGTACTTCGATACGCGTGTACAAGAACAATGTGCAAGTATTAACTTGTTTGCTAAATTTGGGAAACTCAACTGAAAATAGGTCTATGTAGTTTTTGAAAAAAAAAACGAACCAAGATGTGAACCAGTCGATTTTTCTAAGGTTATAATTAAAAGTGGACGAAAGTGGAGAACAAAAGTCGTATCGAATTAGAGGAGGATGTGGAGCCAGACTATGATTTGCGGAAGCATCGTCTAGAATTCGTTTTGAACAGAAGAAAGAAGTAAACGATAAGCTTTCTCAATACTTAACGTCTTCGGTTTCAGCACCTTCAAGTAACCCCATTTCAAAATTGGAGGAGGATATGAAACGGCATGTTTCAGCTCTTCATAAGCCTTTCTCCACTGAATGTTGTTTTATTGTAAACGGTCACTGAACTAAAATTTCTCCTCTGAGTACTCTGGCGAATTCGCGCTAAAATTCAGTTTTTGCTTTCCGGACCATTTTAGCGTTTTTCAAGCAAAACTAAACGTCATAAGGGATGGCGCTCGAAGGCTAATAAATGGTCCTTCATGACGGCCTATATTTAATGAAAAACAGCCAGGCTGCTATCAAATCTCTTAAATCTCATGGAACACTGTGGAAACCACCTGCCATACTACCAGCCAAATTTGATTAAAGATTAATGTAAAGCGATCCATAGCTCTCACTCGGCCGGACCGCTTGTCTCTCAGATTAGAAGTCGAGGTAATGACCGGAGACCGGTAAGGATATCGAACTAACGTTTTTTGTCGCAGTTGCAGATAAAGTAAATGATGGAGAGCATCGAACATTATCTCTGCCACTATCCCGCCCCTTGCTATATATAACGCACTCGGTAAATTACTAAGGGAGGCAAAGAAATAAATGGCTTCCACCAGTGATATCACAACGGGCTTTTCCAGCCTACGTGCTCTGCGAGGTGGCAGCCACTCTAGCCTAACATTCATACAGAGCACAAGTAAAATTACTCAAAATATGAATGAACTCCATTAGTCCACCAGACTACACAAAGAACAGCAATCACTAAATGAAGAAGATTGCACATAATGGTTTGCACCGGCTTAACAGGAGTGAGTACCTGTCGGCTGATACACTCCTACCTTAATAGAAAAGGAGGCAACCACTGCGGGTCTGAGAATTCTAAACAGTTCCGACTTTAAAATCGGAAATAAGACGAGTCGTGGAGGTCCTATTGAAATTCGCCAATGACGGCAAATTGCAAATGCAGGATGCAATAGTTCCAAAACTAGAAATCTCCAGGAAATTTGTGGTAACTGTTGGAGACCGAGCTCACTTGAATGCAAGGAACTCATACATCTACGCTAGAAAATGAAAAACTTGGGCTGGCATATTTGGGCCGAACTTCAAAAAACATATACCGCCATCTTCCAAGTGAATATCTATGCAATATAAATCTGTGGCAGAGAATTCCACAGAAGAGGCATATCATCGAAATATATCTACCTTATATCGGACAATCAGGCATCCCTACAAGCACTAAGATCACAAATAATAACCTCCAATCTAGTAGTGATTTTTTCATAGTCCTAAACGCTCTAGGGGCCAAAAACAAAGTTTTACTAGGATGAGCTCTTGGGCTTGGGGGATATGATGGCAATGAGGAGGCGGACTATCTAGCGAAATAAGGAGCTACCGCACTGTTTCATTGTCCGGAACTCTTTTGTGGGCTCACCAAAGCACACATAACGGGGGTCATAAATAACACTATGCGACAGTCAAAATCGGGATGGGATGAGACCAACGGGAAATGTTATATCGGTCAAAAACAAGTTATACGTGTCCCGGCGTTTCGCTGGGTCACGTCTAGGAATCGAGATATATATATAACTATCATATAGGGGAAATTGTCACCTTTGGTGGTCTTTTTTTGACATAACTCGAGAACCACTAGTCCGATTTTGCTCAAACAAATTAAAAAAAATTAAAAATTACAATTCCTTTAATCTGTTCATATAACGTTTCTCTATATAATCAACAGTTTTAAAAAAATTTAATATTTTAGGCAAAACATATTTTTTTTCTTCATACATTTATTTTTACCGGCAAAACTGTTGATTATATAGAAAAACGTTATATGAACAGATTAAAGGAATTGTAATTTTTAATTTTTTTTAATTTGTTTGAGCAAAATCGGACTAGTGGTTCTCGAGTTATGTCAAAAAAAGACCACCAAAGGTGACATTTTCCCCTATATGATAGTTATATATATATCTCGATTCCTAGACGTGACCCAGCGAAACGCCGGGACACGTATAACTTGACCCCTACCATTTGTGTCACAGTGTAATTGGTTATCCAAAATGTTCAAAAGGCATTGGATGGAATGGCCAGAGCAGAGGGAATTCAAAAGATTTATCAGTCCTTCAAATGACGCTTCAAAGAAACTACTTAATTTAGGTGGAGAAGACTTTAAAACTCCACCTGTATACTACAAGGGACACTGCTCCCTTCGTTATTACCCCTAGTAAAATTAATCTTTTGGGAAAAAGTCTGTCGCTTTTGCGAGCTGTTTGTGAAGTTGATGCTCTGGCTAGGCGCAAGTTAGCTCACTTATATAGTTGGTGCTACACTCAATCCACAAGATATCTGGAACAGAAAGCCCTTGGAGGTGCTAACCTATATTAAAAGCTTTCTCTTATAGGGCGGAGGACCACGCACAACAGATCACGGTAGAGATCGCGGTGTTAATAGCACTTATTCACAATAATAATTAACAGGCCCAATCCCACCAAAGGAAAAATTCGCCGATATGACTGCTGCCATAATCTCTCCGCTAAAATATGTCCTAAAAATATATTTCAACGCTAAATATTGCTAAGAGAATTTAAGACTGTGATTTTATATATTTCGTTATATAATTGGGCCCGATTTTTTCTGTTAAAGAGTATGTCAGTTAATAAACTGGCAGTTAAAAATCGCTGCTTAATAAAGCTTTTTCACACAAAATATACTTGACGCGGCTAACGAAATTAGGAAATATCTAAGAACAAGCGTCATGAAAAGTAATTTAAGGAAAATATTGAGAATTTGTAGCAAGAATAGGGGCGATCCTGTCGAAAAGGAGTTATAGTGAATAAAAAGTTTGGATTGTAAAGTTTTTAGAACCAAATTAATCAGAAATTACCTAAATAATAATGTCCTTAAGTATCTAGGACGACTTTCCTGGTTCTGATCTTGACAATTTTATTATTTCAGAAATAAGTAAAAATATTATTTTTTCTGGATCCATATTAACCCCATAAATTGCTTGTTTCGTGAATTATTTGGAATATTTCTTTCTAACTCAAGATCCGCCTCATTAGATAATTTCATTGTCCATGCATCTGCGAGTGTTATTTTTGTACAACAAAAGTGGACTTTCTCGGTGTAACACAGTGTTATTGTTTCATTAAATTTCGTATGGAAATTAATTCTTTTTTTTTTTGAGGTCCCGAGCCAGAACAACAACAACCTGTACGACGGTTAATTACTTGATATAAATTTTATTGACCGACTAGGCGGTATACGGAAACTAAGAAATCAGAATACATAATTAGAAAACAAAAAAACTAATCAAATCTCCTTTAATTAATGAAAACAAAATTGGGGAACATGCCCTTAAAAAGAAATACAATATTAAATCTTCTTGCTTTGATAAATTTGCGATATCTGCGAATCAATTGAATTGTTTTGTATTATTTGCGTGTCATAAAAAAAATTAATTAATCCGTACGTTTTTAAACAATCAAAGGCACTCTTAAAAACACAATCTTCAAATTTATTGTTAAAATCCGTTTAGTAAAATATGCTGACATAAAATATTTATCATTCAAAATGAAAAGACGGCAAAAAAATATTTTTTTCAGATATGGCAGCTCAGTTTATGTGTGATACTTTCGTATTCACGTCGTGGCTAGTGTGCTATGTAAATTGTCGAAAAGAGCGCCTGCGTAGGTTTACACGAACGAGTATATTGTTGCGTGTGTATACGTGTTTGGCTAATTTTATTTTGGTCAAACTGCCGCGCGGCCAATTTGGTCCTTTTTATGCGAGTATGGGAGTGGGCGAGAATTTGCAATAAGCAGAGTTTCAGGCAATAATTGCATTGGTCCAACACGTCTCACTCCCATCTGCTCAGCGGGCTCGCTTTTTAACTTCCTGTCTCTCTTTTTAAACCACACTTTCTTCTACATCATTTTCCTGCGCTCAGTAAATATATACATACTTATGTATGTACGACTTCGTTTTATATCCGTAGTTCATTTACTTTTAATACGCTTATTTCCAAATTTCTGTGTTAGAAATCATTTAACAAAAGCTTCACACATTAGCACATTCCTTGAAAACACCACACACGCACTGATATTTTTGCTTTGATACATCGACTGAAGTTGTCACGCGTGAATTATAAACAATCTGGTTTCTGGCTGCGGTTGTCTACACATAAATATCTGAAATAATGTAGAGATATGTATTCAGCTTTCGAATGTTATAGTTCCACACAATATTTAATGTTTGCTTTTGTACGTAAATGAAGCAATACTCGGCGGATGAGTAACACAATGTACACAATTTGTTAAATCACCAGAAAGTATGCTACAATTTTTTCAGTTTACTAAATAACCACAAACAGCAACTTTTCTGAGTACACTGCTTACAGCCTGGTCATGGACAAACACGAACTAGCTTTGGTTATACTCAGAATATTCTTTACTGCACTGCTTTGGCCTATTGTTGGTTACTTGGCTTACTCCAATGGCGAACTACACCGCTGGCACACGGTAGTGGTGGTTATAGGCCGAATCGTCGTTCAGTGTGAGCACAAAATTCACATCCACTTGTTCATTCGTTCATTTGCTATACCTAATATACGTAAGGAGTTGCCACACATTTTAGACTTAGCTGCATTTTGTACTTCGTTCTAAATACTACCTTGTTACTATATTATAGTCAAAGACAGCATATTGTTTCATATGTATTTACGTACATACACGGTTGCCACTTGTTATAAAAATAACCAACCAATATCCGAAGAAAAAACAACCAAATTGAAAAAATACAACCAAATTTGTTATCCACTTACCTATAACAAAAAGCAAAACTCATTTAAAAAAAATAAATAAAAAATCAACAGTTTTATTCAGCGTGAGGCCGGGTTTTTTTCAATGAAAATTTTGTGGAATAAATAATTTTTTAGCAACAAACACAACCGACTTCAATTCTATAAAAATTTAGTAGTAACGTTAATTTTTTCATGGTCCAATGATCCAATCTAAACCAAATTAGTATGGGACCACCTATGAGACACTACGTTTCTGATAGAAAAAGAATTATCGAAATCGGTTGACGTGGTCCAAAGTTATGCGGTAACATACATAAAAAAATATATATATATTCCGACGAATTGATAACCGTCTCCCTTTTTTGAAGTCGGTTAAAAACAACATTAATTTACATTTTGGTAGAAGTTATAGCTGCTATTTCGGAAATCAAAAAATTATTTAAATAGTTCTGCGTTCAATGCTACAATGTTACAATTTTACATTAAAAATAAGAATTTGAAAAATTAATTTATTAATTTTTGACATTCAGTATGCAATAANGCGGTAACATACATAAAAAAATATATATATATTCCGACGAATTGATAACCGTCTCCCTTTTTTGAAGTCGGTTAAAAACAACATTAATTTACATTTTGGTAGAAGTTATAGCTGCTATTTCGGAAATCAAAAAATTATTTAAATAGTTCTGCGTTCAATGCTACAATGTTACAATTTTACATTAAAAATAAGAATTTGAAAAATTAATTTATTAATTTTTGACATTCAGTATGCAATAATACTTTTTGTAAAGAAAAAATCTGGTAATTTCTAATTAAAAAAAAAAAACCAAATTAGAATAAATAAAAGAAAAACAACCAAATTTGGTTGGAAACAACCAGCAGTGGCAACTGTGCTTGTACGTGAGCATACATACTCTTACATACAAATGTTTTTATATGCATGTACATACATATTGTGATTCGAATGTTTTGCGAATGCGAATGTTCAAAAAGTTCTGCTAAAAGTCTTATAAGCAGGGAACGGATTTTTAGGACCTTAAAACCTATAAAAAAGGCAAAATAAAATAGCGAAATAGGCAGGAAAAGCCACTAGAAATCGCAAAAAAAGGCAAAAGAAGGCTCTAAAAAAACAAAAACCGAAACAAGTAATTTTTAAGCAAAAAGCAAAGTCGACTTCAATTCTCATATAAAAAAATATATATATATATTTCATGATCCAATGATCGGATCTAAACCAGATTAGTATGGGACCACCTCTCCGATGCAAACAGAATTATCGAAATCGGTTGACATGGTCCAAAGTTATGCATAAAAAAAAAATATTCCGACGAACTGATAACCTCCTCCTTTTTTGGAAGTCGGTTAAAAATACATTTATTTTAAAAAGTTTATTTTACAAGTAAAAAGAGAAAAACTATGAACTAGTTTTATTATATGAAAAATTTTTACTTTGAGTCTTTGACTATTTTCTCCTTTCGAGTTTTTAACTCGCAAAACTTTAATCTCTATAGTTGTAGTAACATTGAACCACAAGATGCATTTTGAAGTTTTCTGGCAGCATGTTTATTCGATTTTCGCGAAGAAAAGCCCTGAATGTACCAAACGTGCGCTCGACTAAACTTTCATATTGTCAGGATTAAAGGATATTTATTGCCCTTTACAATTAAAGGTATAAAAGGCAAAAAAACGCAAATATCTTAACAAAGGCAACATCAAATGTGTATATATGGAATCAGGGAAATATAATTTGTGGACGTTCTTAATCGAATATACTCTATCTCTTTAGCAGAAAAAAGTCAATTTCCATAAAATCCGTTCGCTGCTTATAAGCAAACCTACAAGAAGGGTACTTTTTAAACTGCCCCAATTGGGTAGATTTGATAGAGTATATTCGATTAAGAATGTCCACGAATTATTTTTCCGAGGTCGAGTTCGAATCGATGTCGTTACGATGTCGGTCTGGTAAGGTCGTTTGAGTGAACTCGAAACGACGTCGAAACGAAGTCCTTTTTTCCATACAAACCGCAACGTCGTTCCGACTTCGTTTTTCCCATCAAATCGAAGTCGTTACGACCACAATAATAACACTGTAGGTAAATTTTAAACTTTTAAAATAGCACAGCTCAAAGACCAAACACGAATACTTAATTTTGGTATCTAGATTACGAAGCCGTTTTCAGAAAATCTGCACCACGTCAAAATTTTGAGATATTTAGGAGGGAAGTTTTAGAGCTCTGACGGTGAAATTTTCGTCGCTTATAACACTGTGCTGAGATTTACAACTGTTTTTCTGAGCAAAGGTTTTGATAGCTGATCATACTTAATTAGGAGCTTCTTAATTCAATAGCGTCCCCCATTTTTGCAGATAAGCTCAATTTTTTGAGATAACGGTAGTTGAAAATTTGCTTAAATTTTAAATTTTTTGTTAATAATACCCTCAGTTTTAAACTTATTTTACTAAAATTTTGCACGTGACTGTTTTTCGATATTACATATATTACATACCCTATTTTGACTTTTTGTCCGCCCTTGCTACGGAAGGTTGCGTAGGTCCCCCCTTTTTCACTTTTCGCTTAAAGCGTGTTTGTCTTGTTCAACTTTCACAGGCGATTAGTTGAACCAAAGTTGAACGAAAAATATAATTTTTATTTGAAAACATTCTTATGCCATATTTAAGGCCAGATATGTTTATATATATACATATGTATATGTACATACACTGGCGATCAAAACTGAGTGAACAGTGATTTTTCAAATATCTACAATGTTAGTTGTTTTATAATTTTTTATAAAAATACTTTTCATGCTATAAACAAAATTTTGTACATACATTAATCAAACTTGCAAACTTAATACAAAGTTTAAAAAAATGTGAAAAATTTTGAACTTTGTAATCTTAATTCTTGGATATGCAGTTACATGCCTTATGAAATTTTAGGAAAGTTAGTGCAAGTTTTAAATATCGCTTTTTTCGTATAAGTGCAATTTTTAAAAACTGGCATTGATTTTTACAAGCTTTTTTTTAATATTTTTTTTTTCAAACGTTCTTGCGCATTTTCTTCAAATTCATCTTTGAATGGAAAAAAGGCATCAGCAAAAAAGTATAAAAGATCTATGCAGTTTTTAGCTGCGTAAAACTTAAACCATGTAAGTGCATGTCCAAGAATTCAGATTAAAAAGTCTAAAACTTTTATGGAAATTGGTTGCATTTTTTTAGAGTTTGTATTAAGTTTGAAAGTTTGAATTAATTTTAAGGTTTTATGGCTAAAGCATGAAAAATATTTTTGTAAAATATAACGAAAAAATGAACCTGAAAAACATTGTAAATATTTAAAATAAAATCACCATGCACTCAGTTTGATCGCCAATGTAACTTTGCTTTGTTCAAATAATATTGAATTTCTATTTTCGAGTGGTTTTGTTGTTCAATAAGCGAATAAATCAATTTTTTGTTGAATGCATTTGTCCCCCGAAAAATACTCCTTTTTCTTTCCCAAGTCCCCCAATTTGTTCTTATCTGTACCCCTTTCGGCATTTTAGGTCTGGCAACCCTAGTCATTGTTGACAGTTATAATTTCGAAAAAGTAGAGAATTTCGTTTACTTAGTAACCAGCATTAACGCCGATAATAATGTCAGCATGGAAATCCAACGCAGTATCACTCTTGCCAGCAAGTTCTTCTTTGGACTGAGTAGGCAATTCAGGAGTAGAGTCCTCTCTCGACGTAGGAAAACCACACTCTATAAGTCACTCATCATGCCCGTGCTGGTATATGGCGCAAAACAGGGCCGTAGCCGGGATTTTTCTGACAAAAAAGTTTTTTATTTTAACTTTTATTTCAACATAGATTAACGCACAAACAGGGTGGAAATTTTGAAATTCCTGCCCGTATTTTGTTTGTAAGTCAAATATTATTGGCGTTGTGCTACTATGACAGCACGCCGAGTAATCATAGTCAACTTATGTACAGTAGTCGCAAAATTATAGCCGCATCAAATTTTGACAAGTTTTAAAATAGTATTTTTGTTGTTATTTAATTTTGGTTGGTTTTTATAGTTTATTCTTTAACAATATCCGTATAAATACAAGTTTAAAGGCAGTGTCACACGACGGGGTATTTGCTGAAATTTTATGTAAATCGTATCCCAATTGTATGAATACCCAAAATTAATAGTAGCTTAAATATTGCACTATTTTAATGTAAAAGGATGGCAACCGTTAAAAAGAAGTGTGCAGTCAGTAAAAAAATGTGAAAACATGACTTGGATTTCATAAAACAGACTTTTTCGCTTAATTTGAAATTTTAATGTTCAAATGATGAGTATATGTGTTCAAGTAGTACTCGAAAACATTGTCCAATTAGCTTCGTTTTGACACAAGTTATTTTTTTACCGTACTCAACCCCCTTAAAATGAGATACATAATAAAATAAGTATGTTCATATGTACATAAATAGTTTCCTCTAGCGATTAATTATGGCATTATCGAAATTCCTAAATATAAAAAAAAAACAAGTAAGAAAGTCTAAGTCCCGGCGCAAGTATTAAATATATGTTTTTTCACCTTTCCGAAAGCTACCGCTAGATGGTAAGACGGGGTGTATCAATTTTGAGTAAATTAGCGTCCTTACATTTCGAAATATTCCAGTTTCAAGCATTTCTGAAATTTACCGTTATATGAAAAGCGGCCGTAATTTTAGTCCGATTTCAATAATTTTCAACGTTTTGCTTTT